TTCATGGGACGCCACGATATAAACAACTTCCGGTTTGAAATGTCAATGTCATTTTGACATATTCTTAATTTTTATAAAATGTCTTAATATTTGTCACAAAAACAAAATTACAATAAAAAAAATAAAAAATTAAGGTTGGTATTAATATTTAAAAATTAAATTGCTATCTTCATTGTTGCTAACTTAGGGTTTAACGTTTTTTATTCTAACTTTTTTGTTTTTTGAGATAAGTGCGTCATCTTTGGACTCATTTTAAAGGTTTTTTAATGAAGATGACAAATATGTCAAAATTGACGTTGACGTTTCAAACCGGAAGTGATTGTATTTCCATTAATATTATTTAAAGTTAAATATGTCGAGTTTGGACTCATTTTAAAGGATTTTTTATGAAGTTGACAAATATGTCAAAATTAATAGTTGAAAGTTCAAACCGTTTGGTTTTTTGAGATAAATGCGTCAAGTTTGGACTAACTTTAAAGGTTATTTTATTAAAATATTATTAATTATTATTAAGATTACGAATATAATAATAAAATTAAAATTGACATTGACAACTGAAAGTTATTTTCACGACTAAACCCGAATGTTTCTAGTTCTCGTTCTAGTTTTAGTTCAATAAAAATATACAACATAGTAATACCTTATCATAATAATATCCTACCACTGCTACTAGAACTAACACTAGAATCATTCGGATTTAGCCACAAGTCTCTCAAGACGGCTAGTGACAGCATGAAAATCTCTAAAAACCAATTAAAAACATTATTTAAAACATTTATAACATTGTAATATTTCATTTTGAACGTTAAATAAACCTGGTTATCTGATAAAACAGTTTTAAGTACAAACCAAACCTAAAGAACAATTACACCAGATAGTAGACATGACATGCACTAGAGATAATGATGAGTGTATTTTTTCTGGTTATGTTGACTGGATAAACCTTAAAAAACAAACCTTGTGGTCATACTTCGCGTTATTTCTCTGAAATTTTTTTGCGCAAATAAGTTAATTTGGATTATGTACAGAAATAAAATTAACTTTAGATTATTTCAATCTCCAGATTAAATTATATCAATGATTCTAACCACTTATTTATTTTTCACTTCAAATTAATTATCAATCTTATCACTAGTTATTTTCTCACTCTTTAATGAGTTATTTTCAATTTTTTTATTAATATAGACTTTGAAATAAGATCACTATAGAACAATAAAAGCAATGTAAATCAAATTCAAAATATTCTTCTTCACTCCCTCTCTTTTATGGAATAAAAAAGTATCAGTAAAATTCTCATAAGTAACAGGTAAAACTTGGGTGAACCCCAACGTGTTTCTCTCAAAGGAGGAGGCGTACAGGTACGTTTCCAACAGCATATAAACCAAACGAGTAGCTCTCTCAGTACGAAACCGACCGTCTTTCGAAGTGGTGCCCGTTGTAAACGCGATTAACTGTTAGACGACGACGATAACAACGAGGACGTTTCCACCAAGACACCGGCGAACGAAAGAAAAGTACCGTTACTTTTAACCAAGAGTCTCGTGGCACATATTAGCATAAAGAATTTAAATTGAGTTTTATAAAAATTTTTGATAAGATTCGGTGTGATTTTTTTGAATGATATGTATTGAGAAGGACTTGAACTTTGGGTAAAGAAGGATTCCTGGAAAAATAACAAGTAAGTATGTTGAATTATCCGCGTTTTGAGGTCAAACCACAAATGGAGGCTTCTTGGTTGGTAGGGCGAGTTTATTTCGGTAGACCAATTATTTGGTACCGTTATTCGGTACCAAAGGTGGAAAGTTTAACGAATTCCTTAAGAATTTGTCATTTAATATATTAATTTAAATAATTTTGATAGTAAAGTAATTAATTGTAAGAATTTTTATTAAAATTGCAAAATCAACATTTACATAATTTATTTTTTTACATGTGTACTAAATAGGTTAACTTAATAAGTTTGGAATTGCTCTAACCTATGAGGTGCATCAAGTTCCTAACCCAGCAAATTTGAACTGCTACCACAGGCGATGATAACTTAATTAATAATCGAATGGCTAAGCAAAACCATCCATATGTAATAAGATGAAAATTTTTTCAAACTGGAGCCGTTGGTCACCGCAGATTCCATTAGTTCAGCATCAATTTCTGCATCTATGTCGAAATCTGCGTTTTTAACCCATACATTGTCCAAATCCTTGACATGCTTGATAGTATCTTCCTGGTAAAGGCTGGAAATATAAGTTCTGCATTTAGCATGTTGCAATCTTCACCAAAAACATGTTCAAAATGAGTCATGAACCAATTGTTATTTCCTTTCTTGAGTTTAACAACATTGAGGCATAAACATCCTTTACTTCTTTAGTCATTAATTATCAAAAATATGTTATTGCAAAATTAAACATGAAACGCTATTAAAAAACAAACTTAACTCTAAACCTTATCTGATAAAGATATAGAAACGTTTTAGATTAAAATCGCGTCTTGAGATGTGAAGTAATACTAAGCGCACTCAAAAAATTGTTTACGCAACAAAATAATACGTGTAACTTGTGATTTTGAAATTTCACTGAGATGAGTAAGCATTTCTAATGACCACATCATTCTTCTATAATGGTCATTTCATTAACAACTTGATATATTTACACTTTTAATGAAGAAGTCATTGACGAAAGGTTAAAATGTCAACCTCAATTTTGACATATTTGTAATCTTTATTAAAAATGCTTTAAAATGAGTACCAACACGATATATTTATCTTCAATATTAATGAAGTTATGGTCAACTTCCGGTTAAGAATGTCAATGTCAATTTTGACATATTTGTAATCATCGTGAAAAATCCTTTAAAATGAGTCTAAACATGATACGTTTAATTCTAATATTACTCGAGATATAAGCAACTTCCGGTTTGAAATGTCAATTTCATTTTGACATATTCTTAATTTTTATAAAATGTCTTAATATTTGTCACAAAAACAAAAATATAATAAAAAAAAATCAAAAATTAAGGTTGGTATTAATATTTAAAAATAAATTGCTATCTTCATTGTTGCTAACTTCGGGTTTAATGTTTTTTTGTTCTAACTTTCTTTTTTATTGAAATAAGTGCGTCTTGTTTGGACTCATTTTAAAGATTTTTTTTTAATAAAAAATACATCATGAATGAACACGGTGAAGTTGTCCATTTCTCTATTATATGATAACTAACTTCAGGTTTAAAATGTCAACCTCAATTTTGACATATTTGTAATCTTCATTAAAAATCCTTTAAAATGAGTACAAACACGACATATTTATCTTCAATATTAATGAAGTTATGGTCAACTTCCGGTTAAGAATGTCAACGTCAATTTTGACATATTTGTAATCGTCGTGAAAAATCCTTTAAAATGAGTCCAAACATGATACGTTTAATTCCAATATTACTCGAGATATAAGCAACTTCCGGTTTGAAATGTCAATGTCATTTTGACATATTCTTAATTTTTATAAAATGTCTTAATATTTGTCACAAAAACAAAAATATAAAAAAAAAAAAAATAAAAAATTAAGGTTGGTATTAATATTTAAAAATTAAATTGCTATCTTCATTGTTGCTAACTTCGGGTTTAACGTTTTTTATTCTAACTTTTTTGTTTTTTGAGATAAGTGCGTCATCTTTGGACTCATTTTAAAGGTTTTTTAATGAAGATGACAAATATGTCAAAATTGACGTTGACGTTTCAAACCGGAAGTGATTGTATTTCCATTAATATTAGATTAAAATCGCGTCTTGAGATGTGAAGTAATACTAAGCGCACTCAAAAAATTGTTTACGCAACAAAATAATACGTGTAACTTGTGATTTTGAAATTTCACTGAGATGAGTAAGCATTTCTAATGACCACATCATTCTTCTATAATGGTCATTTCATTAACAACTTGATATATTTACACTTTTAATGAAGAAGTCATTGACATTGGAAATTTCCATTCAAAAAATTGATTTGAATTAGCCAAATGCACGCAACCAAACCCGTTCTATCCGTTCCCAATTTTTATGCTGGTGAATACTCAATTTCAAAAGAAAATTCCGTTAGTCAGACGTGACGATAAATGACAGTAAAACGGTTCCGCGAACACACAATTCATATCGGCGACGAACATGTGGGCTAAGAAAACACAATGAAGATAATAACGAGGCGTAACACATCGCGTTTAAAATTAAAAAAAAAATACTTTTACGTTCTATTTTATCTTCGCATAATTTAATACAATTTTCACATCGAATCAACTCGATTATAAAGGAAAATTAATTATAAAAGATGTGTAATCATAAAATACGAACCACGTATAAAAGCTAACTGTACAAATTGCGGTTTGAGAATTAAATCATTTTCTTTGATTGTCAGTTCTTTCCTCCATTAATTAAACCCAAGACGTGTATTATTTAGTAAATTAAAACGTATCATTACATTTCTTTTTTTTATTTTCAGAAAATATTTAAGAATTATTAAAAAATGCAGATTAAAACTCCCTTATTAACTCTAGTCATCATTGCAATATTCATTGGCCAGTCCATTCAAAATGTACAAAACAACAAAATCGATTTCGAAAACATCCAAGAATTGACCAATAAACTATTATCTTCGAAAAACATCGATAAATTAGGAGGAATGGTTTCAAAATTATTAGAAAAAGCTGGAACCGAAAATGTTGATGATATGATGAACAAAATGGCGAAAGAAGATACATCCGGAGCCACAGCACAACTCTTACAAGTTTTTGGAAACTTAATCAAAGCGAAACTAACCGAAACCGATAAACCAAGAGGAGAAACTGAAGATAAAAAAGGAGGATTAGCAGATATAACCGGATTGGATGCATCAATGTTAGGAAACGTTTTATCGTTAGTTGGAAATTTCGTCGCTAGTAATAAAGGTGGAAAAGAAGGTGATTTTGATCCATCAACGTTAATAAACGTTGTATCAAGTTTTACCGGGGGAAAACTTGGAGGCGTCGATGTTTCCACCATCATTAACATGTTTTCGATGTTTGCCCCAAAAGACGACGATGAAAACGAAATAGAACAAAACACAATTGATGCTCCCCCAAAATCTGACTCTAGAAAAATAAAACCAAAAAAATCTTTCACAGAATCTTTAGTTGATGTTTTCTCGTCTAACGGCCCGGAAATTTTCCAAAATCTCCCCGATTTAATGGATAACATTAAAGCATTCTTTGGAATTGAGGCTCAAGCTAGAGAAGAAGCGCATAAAGACCACAAATCTTTTTTGCCACCGGTTTTGGAGAAACTTCACGTTTTCTTCGATCATTTCATGCACTCCCCATTCGGGAAAAATCTTTGGGTCAAATTCGAAGGGGATAAATACATGAAATTATTCAGCGACGAACAAACTGGAAATTTCAGTTATAGCAAATTCGTTGAAATGGTTGAGAATCACTCGTTTAGGAAACATTGGTTAACGATGGTTACAAAAAAAGTTTCCGAACTTTTATCTTACTTCGCTGATCCGTACAGGCAACAAAAGTAAAAATATTTTTAATTTAATAAAGAAAAAATTAAATTAATTTTAATTTTTAGCTTTGTAGTTACCATTCAATTTTTCGTGAACAATTTCCTTCAACAAAGAGGTGTTCCAAAAGCAGCACTTTTCGATCCAAGCAAACCAACTGAAACTTTAAGCGCCCTTGTAAATTATATTTCAAAACATTACTTTGGACAAAAAGTTGATGCGAAAGCTTACGTTGCACCGGCTGTTACGTATGTTAAAGAAGTTCTTGCGATGGCCGAAGCAAAAGGAATCGTTGGGCATCCAATCGATTCTGATAAATTAACTCATAAACTTGCCGACACCATTAATTTGGATATTATTGAGCCAATAATGCGAGTAAATAGAGCTTATCGATTTGCTACAAAAGTACCACAATGCGATAGGTAAATATTAATAATTTTGATTTTATTAAAAAAATAATTCTTTATTTTTTAGATACGTAATGTGTTTGGTGAACAAAGAACTTCCCGATGATGATCCTCAATTACCAGGTTTAAAACAAGCGTTAAGTAAAGGTGCAAGTCTTTTATCAAGTTGGTTTTTAAGCGCGAAAACGGGTACAAGTTTTTGGTCGTTTTATCATGTTATTTTAGAAGAAAACAATTGTGAGGTAAGTTGTTATTAAAAAGAAAATAAAAGAACCGCAACAGTTCTGGCGGGGTATAATTAGTACAGCAATCATGACCGTTTCTATAACGGGTAGAGTAGCGGTATTATTCCTTCCATTTCATGACGAATCTTCTTCTACAGCTGTTAACAAGCTCCGAAGGAGTTGCATTTTTAAATTAATAATTGTATTTGTTACAGGCGAGGTACTTGGATGACTGTCATGGATTCCACGTGGAAGAAATCAAAGTTACGACTGAGTACGTCCATAACGAATTGTAATAATGATTTAACGACGGTGTGAAAATGTCTATTTTGTGTATTTTTAATTTTTGCTCGATGAATATGCTTTTTAATTGCGTTTTATTTTTGTGGAAGTAGGAACGCATATTCACAGAGCGAATGTTTGTATTTATTTATACAGTGTGACTTTAAAATGATTTTTTAGGTGTTTTAATAAAAATACTTAGGGTGCAGAGTAGTATTTTTTGTGATTTTATGAGTAAAATTAAAATGTATACTGAATTTGTTTTTAATTCAATAAATTTTAGAAATTTAAATAAATAACTTGGTTTTTATTAAGTCATTATACAGCGTGTCTGTAAAGTAGAAAATTATTTTAAAGTTTAATTACTTCAAATTTGAGTAAATGATAAAAATAGCAGTAGCCATGAGCAGTGGCGGATCCAGGGGGAGGTTTTGGGGGTTCAAACCCCCCGAACCATAAAGTATTACACGCAAAAAGGTTTACACTCAGAAAAATTCATCATAAAAATCTAACAAAACCCGTTTCATAACTCCCCCAAAAACTTTTTTCTGGATTCGCCTCTGGCCGCCATGAGTAACTATGGTAACCAATTATTTTAAACAATTCCCTGAGTGTCAAAAACTGATGCTATTCCCGGCTAATTCCGTTATGAAAATTAA